TGCTATAGCATTTCTTCTGGCTGTCATTTCACTTCTGCTGGTTTTTGTAAGGCTTCAAATGGCTGCTTTAACTTGTCTCACTGGTTTCCCAGCACTAGTCAGACATTTCTGGGTTTCCAAGTGGGCCCCAAATCATGAGCCATTTCCAAAGCATATCTGCTGTCTGTATTTTCACTTAGTAAAGTGTGAGGGTTGGGCACTTTAGGATTGTCTCCCTCAAATATGTTGATGATGGCTCTTAAATCAAGCTCCATGCATTATGTTATTTGCTCACCCTTCTTTAACTTCTTTACAATTGGAAAACGGGTGTTTTGACTTGAGACCTAATAGACACAATAACCCCTGCTTCTTTCATCTGAGTGATCTGACTCATTGCATCAGTTTGAGCCATGCGGTGGTACTGTCTAATATGTTGGACATTGGCTCCTGATTTTACTTTCATCATTGCTGAGGTACAATCCAGCAGGCCTACATCATATTTACTGGAGACCCATAAATTAAGTACTCGCTGATACCAATTACCGATGCCATTTTTTTTTGGTGCGTTTTGAGCTGATATAAAATTGCTGACCTCAGGACCAATATACCCTTTATTAACCACTTCATTACCGGACACTTTCACTACTTTCCTTCCCAGGCCAATGTCCAGCTTTCAGCTCTGTCACACTTTGAATGATAATTACTCAGTCATGCAATATTTTACCCAAATTAAATTTTGATCATCCTTATTCATTGTGTACAATTGCTATGTGATCTGCTGTGATTGGTCACAGGGATCATATGATGTTCACTCTGCAGCTCTCCTGCTCGCCAATCATTTTATTATAGGCTGGGCGGGCTAAACATAAATGACACTGGCTTGTTATTTCCCTATGTCATAAGCTCAAGCTTCATATGCTTCTTTACAGCACTACATTTCTATGCAAAAGTTTTGCATGGGGGTCCTTTGTTTGATATCGGTTGTCTTCGTTTAGAATATTGGCCAGATCCAGCTTAGTATGGTGACTTGGGGCATTAAAACCTCTATGCTGTACCATACTGGCCAATTCATCTTTTCTATGCTGTTGCAGTCCCCCTAAAGCCAAACTGACAGTCACAGGGTGGGGGGCAGGGGTCCCCTTCTACAGCGTCTTCTGGGAAAATGTAAGAAATTTGCCTTGTAGCTCATTCTTGTTCATAAGTTCTGCTTTTTCTTTCTGAATAAAAGCCAATTGTTTAAAAGAAAAAAAAAAAAAGAAATGTGGACATTACTTTTATTAAACACTTCTGTCCGGCCAGTTTCATTTGCTAATTAAGCCTTGTGCAAGCTCTTCTCCATGTTCCTTCACTGCGCAGTATTGGGTGCTAATCATGCAGAAAATCTATGCCTGCATATCAAACGTTTCTTCATATTTTAAAGCCTTAGCTGTACTTTTTGTCCATTCTACTCATTTCCTTTGTCCACTCCAGGCATTTTCTGAGGGTTCCTGACCCTTTATTCTCTTAAATCAATGCCCATAATGACTTGCCAGTATTTTCTACTTGTGCCTATACCCTCCTGTCTCTAGAACAAATAGTATCGTAGATATGCAGATTTACAAGCACAGTTCCCACTTATTCTTGTTGATAGAAAGGGGTTTATGACACATGCACAAAGCTCTTGTGCAAGAGACTCTCCTTGTCTCTGTGGGCTTTATTCTGACCTTACCATGTACCCCTGACCCAGGCAGCCCCATAGGGCCAGCGTAGGGAACTACAGAGGTCTACCCTGTTCCAGCCTGTGAAGGTGGATACAAACACATTCTTCATACACAAAGGTCAACCAACCAGAAAGGTCTGAGAACCAGCTTGGTTTCTTGGGAACTGACAGATAAGGCACAAATGAAAAGCAGAAATGTAATCAAGCTTAAAAACAGCTTATATAGATGGCATTTAGTGGTCTGCCTTCCCTATGGCCCAGATCAAGGCATGGCTCCTTCTGGAGACTCCGTCCACTACTAATTGGCTCATCAAAATGTTGTGGATAGTTCTGGTTGAGACACTGAACATAAAACTAAGTATGCAATTGCATGAGAATAGATTAACAGAAAAAAAAAGATGAAGCTCTGCTTGTTTATTTTTTAAATTTCTTTTATGCCCAAGAAACAATTGAGTACTGTCCGTGATACTTTTTTTATTTGCACTAACATACAATTTTGAGGACAAGCTTTCGGGGTATGTCCCCTTCTTCAAAGTCCAAATAGTACTATTACAAATCACAAAGTTTAAGCAGAATGTTAGAAGGGATTGAGAAAAAAAAAAAAAAGCTAGAGATAAGATACATCAAGAGCGAGGGGAGGAGAGGGGGGATACTACACTCACACAGAGGGGGTCAAGCTTCAGCTAATAGTTATAAAGCTGTCGGATAATGGTTGAGGAATCCCATGTCCAAGTTAAGGCCGTTATCTTTTGTGTCAAATAGAATTATCATTCTTAGTTCAAATGTTTTTCTTTCCTGGATAGATTTGAATTTTCCTTTCAGAACCAAAACATTGAGGTCTTCCATATTGTGGCCTGGTTGTGTGAAATGGTGTCCCACAGGTGTGCAGAAGTCATCTTCTTTATGTTCCTTGATGGTATGTCTGTGCAAATTCATCCTTGTTTGCAACTTCTGTCCTGTTTTCACCAACATAAGATCCTTTGCTGCATTTTCTGCACTGGATAAGGTACACAACATTACTGGAGGTGCAGCTGTATGATCCGGAAATATTGAAGATCCCTTTTGAGTGTCTGACACTTTTTGATGGATTGATTTGTTTTATACCCAAGATAAGACTGGGGAAGTGTGAGATGTTATTAAAAGCTAGAAAATAGGTTAATGACATATTTCAGAAGTCTGCAGCTATCACTAAACATTGTAAAACGAAATACTTAAGAAGGGAAGGAGAATTCATGCTTAAAATTCAGTCTGCATACAAAATGGGTATTGCAAAACTGTTATACTAAATGGGTGATCTTGTCCTTAAGGAAGTATTAAACCCAAAAGCAAACCTCTATTTTATTGTAGCTTGACAATTCTTAGATGTGATGGCTGCATCCAGTTTTTCTTTTTTTTTTTTTTTTTTTTTTTTTTTTTTTAGGCTTTCTTTCCTTTATTTTCACCTGGCGATTTAGCCAGTGTCTCTGTTTTTCAAAAGGACAAGCTGTTTTGCAGATGTAGCTGTTACAGGAATGAGACAAACCATTTAACACAGACAGGGTTGCTTACAATGATCAGCTTTTATTCATTTATGTAAAATCTTTATCTCAAATACCTCTCTAAAATGGAAATATCTCTTTAACCACTTCCCTCCGGAGGTACGTATATATGCAGCCCTGTGTAAACTGAGGGAGCAGGTAGGTACCACAAAGCTCCTGATGCATACTTGCAATTGGTAGCTTTCTGATCATGTGACTACCAATAACCGTGGTCACATGATCAGAATGCCCACCTCCACCTCCCGACATTTATAACTTCTTAAAGGGCAGGGAGGTGGCGGTGAGAAGGGGTTAAAATAGAAATAAAGAAGTGTAATTGCTCTTGAATGTGTTTAATTTGATCATTTTATTGTCTCATTGTAGAGGATGGGCATTACTTGCCCTGTGGTTTATTTTCTCCCTTGTACAATATGCATGATAGGGCTCACTGAAAATTCCTGCCTGGAGTAAGTTCTAGAGCCGTTCATGACGATGTAGTAGTGCATTCTGCAGTGTATTCCCAAGTGCAGCAATTTGGATGTGCTTTCCATAGTTTGCAGTGATAAGTGTCCTGCTAAGATGTTTTCCTCCTCGCCTAAATGGAAGTAAGTATTTATCCTTCAGTTTTCCACATATAGGTCAGAATAAAGCCTTTATCGGGAGAAATTGGGAGAAATCACTGGATATAAAACAACACCTTTCAACTGACATTTACATGGTTCTAATCCCATACCTTGACTAGACATATTATCACACAGTTGCCCTGTGAATCATTCAGTGTGACAGTTAGACTTTGTGTGGAGCACACTTGGATATATACACTGGAATGCATCAGGGTTGGAGTAAAACGTTTTGTAGCCCCAATTCAACTGTCGTGGGACTCCAAAGGATTTATTCAGTCTTAGCCCAATGGGGTTGATTCTCTTAAACTGAAGAAAAGAAAATGATTACACATCGAAGTTGTCATCAGTAGCAGTTAGGTTTCATCTTTCGTTTTTTTATTTAAAAATGAAGCAGAAATTTTATTAATTGACTTTGGCAATATTTCCAGTTTGTGTTAAGTTTCCTTTCTTCATTAATGAATTGGTCCCAAAACATTTGAGATGCTGCAAAAACCTCAGAGTGCACAGCTACTAGCATGAAGAGTATGAGGTTTTAGATTACATGTGTGCTGTTCATTCTGAGTTTACCTACTAGTGCCCTTGTACGTAACCTCTATTCACTCATGGGATTATATTGACACTCAAGGGGAAATTTACTAAATCTAGAGCACTCAGAATCGGGTGCAACTGTGCATGGTAGCCAATCAGCTTCTAACTTCAGCTTGTTCAATTAAGCTTTGGCAATCAAATCTGGAAGCTGATTGGTTTCTTTGCAGAGCTGCACCAGATTTTGCATGCTCCAGCTTTAGTAAATCAACCCCTACTGGCAAATGAAGAGTTAAAATTCTGTATTCAGCCTATGTTAACAAGAATAGCCATTTTTGGGAAATCTATGAAAGACCATTACTAAAACCAATAGTTATCTATGTTGGAAGAACACCTGTTCCTCCTGAGGGACATATGGAACCCCTGGAGCTATGAAGGGCACATTGGCCACATTTTGCTCAGTTTCCTGTCACCAGTCGGGGTTCCATATGATGGGAACATGAGCTGCAGCAGACTTTCTAGTACTCTGGTCTCCCTCTGTTCCAAGGGAGCCAAGTTAGTTTTTAGGCAAATATATAGAGTTGCTGTTTATAAGCATCCTTCGTGGTCTTTTTGGTGTGCAGTATTGCTTTAAATATTATTTTATTCCTCCCCCAGGAAGAAAGAACAGTAAGAGACAGAACACTGCTTGAGACAAAGGATGAAGAGCAAAGCATTCATTGGAAAATTCAGTTCAACCTGGGAAACAGCAGCCGGGTCAGAGATCAGTGTCGGAACTCTGTTCAAGGAAAACTACTTATTACAGATGACTTAGGTAAATCTAAACCCTTCTTTCCTTTACAGCCAAATAAACGGCCTTCTTGGCCTTTGTTTGATCTACAGTTGCAGTGGAGCTGCAAATGTGATCAGTTTTGACACCAGCCATTTTGTGGCTTGATAGTTCGGTTGAGAGCTACCATTGGCACACTAGTAATTGTAACCGTTATCATTCATGGCATACCTTCAATGGACTGTTTTGGGAAACTGTTAAATCAATGGCTTTAGTTCTGCTTTAAAGTGGAACTAAACCCACCTTTTGAGCCAGCAAAGCTGCCATCTTATGCAGGCCATAGAGGGGTTGAAAATCGGCCGATTTTTCGGCCAAAAAAAAAATTGGCTGACTGTTGCACCGTTAATGGGTTAATTGGTTGGCCATTTTTCTGGATTTTGTCAGATTTTTTTGATCGGTAAAGTTGGAAAAAAATCGGCCGATTTTGTCGATCGGCCGATTTTCACGGCAATGATGGGCAAATCGGCCGATCTTTTTACCGATAAAAAATCTGCACATGAGCCGTGACCTGCAAGAAAATGAAGAAGAAGAAGAGGAAGAAGAAGAAGAAAGAAGAAGAATTCCAGTCCGCTATTATATTTGACATTAAAAAGTATTGCGGTTGCAACAATGTATCTATTTGTATCCGAAAAAAAAAACCCCATCTGTATCCGAAATGGATACAAATAGATACAATGTTGCAACCGCAATACCTTTTTAATGTCAAATATAACAGCGGGGCTCTCTGCAGGGGCAGAAGTAATTAAATGCCGGCCGTAGACGGGAAGAAAATCGGCCGATTTTTTTTTTTTTTTTTTTTTTTTTTTTTTACTGTTGGTGGTAATGTCGGCCTATTGAATGACCAATTTTTTGTTAAAAAAACGGCCGGTTTTCTCCCCGTCTATGGCCTGCATTAGCCTCTGTTTGATCTGCAGCTGCCATGGTACTGTGTGATTAGTTATGACCCCAGCCATTTGATGATTTCACAGATTGGTTGAAAGCACAAGCAAATGTGACAGAATTCCTGGTAACTGGTTTTTGGGACCGTTAAATCAATGGGTTTAGTTCCACTTCAACACATGACCAAAACTGTTTTACCTGACGAGATTTGTAAAAAAATGCAAACACTATTGTAATCTACCCTCCTCATTTTCTGATTTTGGACTGTTATTGTTGGAACTTATTTATTTCAATTAATATTACATTAAGTCTATTGTAAAGCGCTGAGCAATCTGTTGGCGCTAAATAAATCCTGTATAAATAATAATAAAGTGTATATTGGCATTGTTTCTTTTCTCTGGCCCTATGACCCCATAACACCTACTATATTTGAAACTTTTCCTTTTCTTTGTGTTGCAACCATTTTGATAAAATGAGAGCAGTGGGCATGTTTTTTTTTTTTAAACCACAATAAAGTGGTTCTAAATGTAAACATTTTTTTTTTTTTCTTACCTTAATGCATTCTTTGCATTAATGTAAAACAATTCCAATACCTGTGCCCCCCCCCCCCTCCCCCATTCCCTAAACTCTTATTTGAGAATTCTGTTGATCCAGTGCTGTTCCTAGTTCCACTCCCTTCAATTTTGCTGCTTTCACAGGAGCAGCAGGAGTGGGGGGCACAGCCGAGCCACGCTATGGTTGTCTATGGATGCATACAACATGGCTCGGGAGTGTGACCACACAGGTGCCCCTATAACGCACAGCTTGCTCTGGGGGCACCTGTAAGAAGAAAGAATGAATAGTGGGGGACTCCAGAAGAGGGGCTAAGGAGCCACTCTGTGCACTATCACTGCACAGAGCAGGTTTGTTGAACATATTTTTATTTTAGCAAAAAAAAAAAAAAAGAAGTCTTTAATGTCACTTTAAGTTTTTGTTACATTGCTTAGTTCAGATGCAAGCAGTGCTTAATAGAGGTGTGTGGGTTTTTTTTTTTTTTTTTTTTTTTTAACACTTTTTGCAATACACATTTGCATACATGTTGCATCGCCAAGTGTTAATGTGGTAGTAAAGCCTAAAATAAAGCTTACCTGTAGGTACAGTAAATATTTCCTAAACGTACACCATTTAGGAGATATTTACTATAGTAGCAGTCGGTGATGTCATTGGCGAGTGTGCACTGAGCGTGTGAGAGAGCCGTGCCGCGGGAGTGACATCAACACTGCTCGTCCAGTTAAACAGCTGAAATACACGAACCTGGAAGGAAAACCAGGTGAAGATGGAAGCCCTGTTAGCTGTGAGAGCGCACCGCTGGAGGGTTTCGTTCTAAGGCAAGTCTTTCATAATTTGCTACTATGCAATCCATACTAGCACATTATGCTATTATTTTGCAGGGAATATTTTTTTGAGAAAGTTTTACTACCACTTTAATGTTTGTGCATAACCACACATGCTGCATGCACATGGATCCGTGTAAAGGCAGCCTAAATAAAGCTGTAACAGTTGAGAGGATGAAAAGTGCCATAGACCAATTTGCATTGTCACAGAGCTACAATAAAAACCACATATCTTACTCCCTAGCAGTTGTAAAGCTGTCAGGATGCAAGAGAAAGCAGCAGATTTATAGAGGACTACATTCCTATAATGTTTTAGGGAGGGACACACTAAAAAGAGCAATTTAGGATGAGTAGTTGGCACACTTATCTTTTAGAGAGACTATACGCTTTTATGGTAAGTTTTTATTTTTTAATCTGTTTGTATACTGATTTTAATAATTTATTGGTATAACATTTTATTTACCAAATAAACATGGTGCATGCATGCCACCCAGTTTGTATAGCAGGGGTCTCCAAACAAAGGGCCAGTTTTATTGACCAGCAGACTTTTGGGGGGAGGCAGGACTGTGGCCATTGGGAGAAGAAATCTTCTTGGCACCAGTAGGAGTAAACAGTGCCCCATATTAGGTATTAGGAGAAGGAATGGTGCCCCATCGTTGGTATCAGTGGGAGAAATAGTGTCCCTTTTGTTGATGTCAGTGGCAGGAATTGTTGGTATCAGTGGGCAAAATAGTATTTCATATCAGTGGGCTGAATAGTGCTCTAAGGGCTGGATAAAGGCAAGCAAAGGGCTGCATCCGACCCCCGGGCCACAGTTTGGATACCACTGTTGTAAAGGATGCTGGACTATCTAATCAGGAATATCAACAATGTCCACATACTTTGAAGCAGTAAGTATATATAATGGTCCTATCACTGCTAGGATAGAGGGATGGGGGTGTGTGCTTCCTCTGCAGTGTCTGTATTCTGATCTCCCTGATATTCAGGTCTGCTTCATCGCACAGCTGTAAAGTGAATTTTGAAAAAGCTGCTAATTTCATTTGCTAAATGTGAAATATTCAGATATTTATTCAGTCACTCCTGAATATTTACATTTTCAATTCAAAATTAAGTTTGCAGTTTTTTAGCTATGGAATGCTTTTGTAGTCGAAACATGTTAGCGTACTGTTAATGCATTTTTACATGTAGCCAATAAAAATTCTCAGTTTTATGGATCGTACCGAGTGCTGGCTTAATTTTATTATGGAATTCTTTGCTGAAGTTTGGAAATTGTTGCCAGAGCGCCGATCTTCAGCCACAGGAAGCTGAGTCGGTGGTTGAGCGCCGGTAATGTATATTAACTTAAGTTTTTAAAAAAGTAAATAGATGGGCTTGAGGACCTCAGTTATGAGGAATGACTTCAAACATTAAATGTACTCTCCCTGGAGAAAAGGTACTTTAAAGAATATGTAAACATAACATTTCATAATCCTGATATGCACCTGCTCTATCATATACTTATGTTAAAAAGTATCCTGTTTAAAAACTGACCACACTAGGCATGAAAGCACAGTGCAGTCAGTTCTCTAGCTGTGCTGGGAACTCTGTCTGCTTTCCTTCAATGATCAAACTTGTGCTGACATGCCTATTTCCCTCCTTTCACAGCCATTGACAGGGAAGACCACTGTGGTTCTGTTCTCCACCTTTACCTCCTTTATGGAGCTGAGAACAGAGGGTATGTGATCACTTATAAAACAGGGGAGAAAAAGTGTTTAAAATAGAAATGAAAGGCAAAACATTTTTGCAAAGATATAACAAAAATTATTAACTGTGAATGGATTGTTTTACAAGGTGAGGGTTTACATATACAGTACTTTAAGAGGGACATAATCACAATACACAGATCTTTAAATGGTAACTCAAGTATTTGGAAGAAGCTATTTAGAGTGGTTCTAAAGTGTAAGTTTTTTCTACCTTAATGCATTCTCTTCATTAGAGTAAAAAAAAAAAAAACCTCACTACCTGTTTTTTTGCCGCCCCCCGACGCTAAACACTTATTGACTCCTCCACCAATCCAGCACTGTCCCGTCTGCAGTCCCACTCTCCTCTGTTCCTCTTATCAAAGGGGACACAGACATCAGTGGGAGTCATTGTCTCCTGCTGCTGTCAGTCAAATCCAGCAAGAAGAGAGAGAAGTGGGCATGGCCAAGCTGCACTGTGTGTGTCTATGGGCGCACACAGCCTGGCTCAGGAGCATGCTTGTGCAGGTGCCCCTTTAGCACACGGCTTGCTGAGGGTTCACTCTCAAAGGAGCAGTGGGCAGTGCCGGTGAGAGACTCCAGAAGAAGGGGTAAAGGACTGCTCTCTGCAATAGCATTGTACAGAGCAGGAAAGTATAACATCTTTTTTATTTTAAATTAAAAAAAAAAAATAGTGTTTACAATCACTTTAATCTTAGGTCTCTAAAGAAGACACACAGCCACACAATGAAGTTGCGATACAATCTTAAACTGTGGAAGGAGTTCTTTACTGTTAGAGAAGTAAGGATGTGGATCTTTCTTGCAGAATTGGTGGCGTCAGCGAGGAGTATAGATAAATTCAAAAAACGTTTAGATTTGTTGCTTAGCAAACACAATGTACAGGGATATGGAACATAGTAACACACACATTGAACTGGATCAACGGGTGTTTTTATTCAACTTTACCAACTATTCAATTCAATATTTTTTCTAAAACTGTTTATGACCAAGTCCTGTTCACAGTTGTAATACATAAACAGCAATGTTCCATCACACTATATTATTTACATTTTCAGACAAATTCTGTATATAAAACCTTCAGGGAAATTTACATTCTAAATAAGCCAGTCTCACACTGCACTAAATGAGTTCTATTTTCACAGCATACACTTTAATTTTATAACATCAGCATTGTAATAAAAATACAAACAATAGCTATATTAAAAAATCCAATATCGGTTTACATGAAAAATCTCTTTTCATGTGATTGCTGCCTGTCTGCTGGTCGTCTCTTTCCACAACTTCCTGGATTCCCTGCATGCTTTGCAGCTTTTACTCTGCTGTTTACATTCAATTTCTAAGGATTACATATCCCATGGTACCTTGCAAGCAGTGATTTCTGTACTGACTCTGCTTCCTGAAACTGTTTCTCTCAGCAAAAGGCAGGCTCTGTGAATTCTGTGGAACAGCAGTGCCTAGTCACAGGGCATAATAAATACGTGTCACAGAATTGAAGGGAGTTTACAAACCTCAGGATCATTTAGATTACCCGCCTCCCATCTGGCTACTGTACATAAACAGGTAGATGGGAGCAGTGCCGTTGCGGTCAGACATACCTGTACATCCTCCCTCGTTGCCCGCTTGTGCGCTCTCTAGAGCACACAGCTACGGGATCTGTGACGGTTGTGTCCAACGGATGCAGGTGATCACCGATCATTGTGCCCGGTCACTGTGAGTGACGCTGGTGCCATGTGATCGTTGTGACCAAACAAAGCGAACACATTACCCGGCAGTGTTTTACTACTGTTTCTCAGATTGATTTTGATTTCGTTTTTTCTCCTGTCGGTCACTTTGCATTCTCTAAATTGATAAAAATAAAAAAGTAAAATATACCGTATGTTTTTGAAAGCATTTATTCACACCTGTCTACAACGTTTGTGCAGTAATCTATGTATATGTGTGTGTGTATAATATATATTAGTGCCTGTCTATTTATTAATGCAGGTGTTTAACTATTTATTATTAGGAAAAATGAAAATTACTTTTCTCTCGCAGGTTATGTCTGTGAGCGCAAAGAGCTGCTAGCAAATGGGTGCTGCAACATCAATGTGGCCAGCACAAGGCAGTATAACTGTGAAAGCTGCTTACCCAATGGGTGCTGTAGTGTGTATGAGTACTGTGTATCTTGCTGCCTTCAGCCTAATAAGGTGCGTAATCATTTTATTTTCGGTGTATACACTATGAAAGTTCTTTTTCAGTAAAGGATTAGTTTTAAGTTCAGGTTAAAGTGGTTCTAAAGGCTCAAGGTTTTTTACTTTCATGTATTCTGTGCATGAAGGTATAAAACCCTCTGTGTGCCAGCCCCCCCAGACGTTCTTGACAGCTTCTGCTGCCTGGGGACTCTTCCTCCTTATTGACTGAGACCGCAGCAGGGGCCCATTGATTCTTGCTGCTGTCAATCACAGCCAGTGAACCAATGAGAAAAGAGGGGGGAAGACTTATGGACGCATAGAGGCTTGCGGACGCTGGGGGGGGGGGGGGGGGGGAGTCAGGAGCGCCAGCGGGGACCCAAAAAGAGGATCAAGGCTGCTCTGTGCAAAATCAATGCACAGGGCAGATAAGTATAGACATGTTATTACAAAAATAACAGAGCTTTAGTGTCACTTCAGGGGTTGGGTCAAGCTCAAAATAAACAATTAGGTGTTCGGTACAGGTTTACAGATAAATTAAGTTTAAAGGTTGAGTTTACATTTTTGCGTTATGGGTAAGGTTTTAGAGAACAGTAGGTTACTATTACTTTTTTGATGTAATAATGTGACTTTTTAGGCTTACTCTAAAATTTCTGATATTTGATAAATGTTTTATATTCTTTGGTGCAAGCAATAACACACCAAATTTGCTTTTCGATGATTGACGTAATGCTATTACCAGGCTTTCATGTAAATGCAGACCTATTACAACTTTGATTGCTCTTCTCTAATATATGGTGAACTATGTTGGTCTAGACTTCTACACATTGTTGTTCTTTATACTATACATTTGAAGGTTTAAGGAGATGTCAGATTTGTGTTCATTTTAATTTTACCATTGCAAATATATCATGTAGCTAAGATTTAAAATAAATCTTTACAATGATTACTAATAAGGATGAACAATTTGCCTTTTTTTCTTGTCTTTAAATATAGCAACATGTTTTGGAGCGTTTTCTAAACCGAGCTGCAAGGGGGTTCCAAAACTTATTCTTAGCCGTAGAAGACCACTTTGAGTTGTGTTTAGCCAAATGTCGAACATCCTCACAGGTAACAAAATGAATATTCAAATGTAGTGAGTTTATAAGATCTGTAAGTAAATATATTGTTTTTAAATTGTATGTTTTATGTGTTTTTTTTATTTTTCTCCAAACCCCTAGGGGGGACTGTGACGGCTTGAATTTTTAGCATTGCCTCATTCTTCAGGTTGAGGGACACTTGGCATAGGTTAAAGTAGAATTCTGGGCTTTTACTAACCATGCTTAAAAACACTTTCTTCCCACTTCTAACACCTATACTAACTAACCTGTGTTGGAAAAAAAAAAAATGTACTTATTCTCTGATCGCTCGTTTCTGATCATGTGATTTTTCCTTGTGTGAGCCAGCACTGGCTACAGGGCAGAGTAGAGTGCTTGTCATCGGCTGGTAATGCCTGATTAGTGAAGTCACCCACAGGCTCCTATGGCTTATCTGTTGTCAGTGCTCCCTCCCCTCTTCTGCAGTGGCTGTGGGCTGACACAGGAGAGCCGAACATGTGATTGGACGGGAGCAGCCTGAAAATAGGTAAGTATATAGATACAGTGTATCCAGAAAGTATTCACAGCACTTAACTTTTGCCATATTTTATGTTACAGCCTTATTTCAAAATGGATTAAATTTTCTTTTTTCCCTCAACATTCTCAAACAATATCCCGTAATGACAATGTGAAAAAAGTTATTTTTTAAATCTTTGCAGTTTATTAAAAATAATGAAAAAACCACATGTACATAAGTATTCACAGCCTTTCTCATTACTTTGTTGAAGCACCTTTAGCACCAATTACAGCCTCAAGTCATTTTGAGTGTGATGCTACAAGCTTGGCACACCTACTATTGGGCAATTTCTCCCATTCTTCTTTGCAGTACCTCTCAAGCTCCATCAGATTGGATGGGGAGCGTCGGTGCACAGCTATTTTCAGATCTCTCCAAATATTTTCAATCGGTTTCAAGTCTGGGCTCTGGCTGGGCCACTCCAGGACATTCACAGAGTTGGCCCATAGCCACACCTTTGTTATGTGGGCTGTGTGCTTAGGGTCATTGTCCTGTTGAAAGATGAACTGTAGCCCCACTCTTAAGGTCCAGAGCGCTCTGGAAACAGGTTTTCATCAAGGATGTCTCTGTACATTGCTTCATTCATCTTTCCTTTTGATCCTGACTAGTCTCCCAGTTCCTGCCACTGAAAAACATCCCCACAGCATGATGCTGCTACCACCATGCTTCACTGTAGGGATGGTATTGGCCAGGTGGTGAGCGGTGCCTGGTTTCCTCCAGACATGACACTTGGCATTCTGACCAAAGAGTTCAATCTTTGTTTAATCAGACCAGAGAGTTTTGTTTCTCATGAAAGTCCCTCAGGTGCCTTTTGGCAAACTTCATGCTTGATGCCTTTTACTGAGGAGTGGCTTCCGACTGGCCTCTCTGCCATACAGGCCTGATTGGTGGAGTGCTGCAGAGATGGTTTTCTTCTGGAAGGTTCTACTCTCTCCACAGAGAAACACTGTAGCTTTTTCAAAGTGACCATCAGTTGCTTGGTTACCTCCCTGGCTAAGGCTCTTTTCCCTCGATCGCTCATTTTGGCCAGGTGGCCCGCTCTAGGAAGATTCCTGGTGGTTTCAAACTTCTTCCATTTACGGATGATGGAGGCCACTGTGCTCACTTGGACCTTCAGTTCTGCAGAAATATTTCTGTACCCTTCCCCAGATCAGTGCCTTGATATAATCCTGTCTCGAAGGTCTATGGACAATTCCTTGGATGTCATGGCTTGGTTTGTGCTCTGACATGCACTGTTAACTACGGGACCTTATATAGACAGGTTTATGCCTTTCCTAATCCTGTCCAATCAACTGAATTTCCCACAGTGGATTCTAATCAAATTGTGGAAACATCTCAAAGATGATCAGTGGGAACAGGATGCACCAGAGCTCAATTTTGAGTGTCACAGCAAAGGCTGTGAATACTTATGGACATGTGTTTTATTTTTAATAAATTGCAAAAATTTCAAAACGAACTTCTTTTACGTTGTCATTATGGGGTATTGTTTGAAGACTTTTGAGGAAAAAAATGAATTTAATCCATTTTGGAATAAGGCTGTAACATAACAAATTGTGGCAAAAGTTAAGCGCTGTGAATACTTTCTGGATGCACTGTATCTGTTGTTACAAGTTAGTTAGTATATGTGTTGGGGGGGCATTTTCAAGCATAGTTAGCAAAAGCCCAGAATTTTAGCTGAAAGACATCTTGTGGCAAAAAAAGTTTTTGGGGATGACTGAATTGACCATTAAAGCCTAAGTTGCTCTTTAAGTTTAAATATCAGTTGGGTGTCTGTCTGCCTGGATAAGGGCTTTAAAAAATAATTTTACTTTGGTAAATGTCCAAATAACATTGTGGAGGACATTTCTCCAAAGTAAGAGATTTCTTGATTGTCACTTGAAAACGTTTCCCCTCTGTAAAATTTTGGATTACTTATCACATTCTGTCCCATTGACCATGACCATCAGGAAAAATAGAGTGGGTGGATCTCCCTAGCGGAGACACAGACCACAATAAAAATCACTACACAATAATGCATCCCTATTCCTACCTCCATCAGTGGCAGACTCCATACCACTAACTTACAAGAAAGCACACAGGTAGTGCTCGACTTTTTTTTTCTTTTTTTTTTTTTTTAATTCGGCATGCTTTGCAAACACAGCATTAGTTTAAATAATTTGTTTGGGCCAGCTTGGACCAAAACTATCTGCATGCCAGAATAGGACTGGCTGCTGCTTAGGCTTTAATATACTGTAGTAGCTTGAGATACGTACAATAACCGGTGTTGTGTTCAGGCAGCAGTATCTGCAACTTCTACTGCCAGGTATGCAGTCTCCCATACCGCATCTTTCACCCCCGGATTCAAATATATGTGGCTGTGCGGGCCGCATTTTGCACGGGCACGAGAGCCCATTCATTTGCCTGTGAAACGCAGGGAAGAAGTCCCTGTACTTCTTCTGAAAACACAGCCCGCACGGGAACCTTGGTTCCCAGTACGGTTGCCTTTTCCAGTGCAGGTGGTGTGCCATTAGAACTAATGGCACCCGCCTGTGGGTCCGCATTTCTCTGTGCGGGTGGTGCGGCTGCACAGATGTGAACCTAGGGTAAAGAGAAGAAGGGTTCTCATTCACTGCCAGCAATACCAAAATAAACTGCATCTTTGCCATTTAGGAGAAGCCTTGTGTTTTTATCAATAAAGACAAGACTTCCTATAATTATTGGCCAAGATGGAGATTATAACCTCATCTGTTGGCCTCTCCATGTTGGCCAATCAGAGAAAGCCTTGCATTTATTGATAAAAAAACAAAACAAGGCTTCTTCTAAATGGTGGAGATTCGGCACGGTGGACTCCCTATATATCCGGGAGTAGCAACTACTGCAGCTGGAATACAGCTCTGCTTACTTTACCTAGCACAAACTACAACAGTGTGTTACAGCAAAAACAGTGATCACTCTGTTCTGGCATGCAAATAGTTCATGTGGTCCAAGCTGGCCCAAACAAATTAATAAAAGTGCCAGGAAACCTGGAATTCTTGAATTGAATTATACATTTACAAGTGTACACTATAGTTATCATTTAATGTGGATGGATCTGATTGTTCGGGAACATACAATCTGGGCCCTTTGTGTCTCTGGTGAACCTACGTGTACTTTTGGTTCCTGTTCTGCAATCTCCCCACTACTCACCCACAAGGCAGTAATAGGAAGACCAGATTGTCTGTATTCATCTTTGCTTTACTGCCATAAATCAACAAAAACACTTGACGTTTTGTTTTTCAATGTCAAACCAAGATGCAGCTTTTAATTATAAACTTATATGATGATGTTTGGGAATATGAAAGTCCTCTGCAGAATGCTGACAATACAGCTGAAACCTGTATGCATTACTGTCCAGGCTTGGAGGTACACAGATGGCAACTGAATGAGAACACTGACATGATTGATTCTATGTATACATTTTATGCCAAATGCTTGCAATTAGTGGCAGCCATCCTCAATTAAGGGTAAGATAATGTGATTATTTTAGGGCCTGATTAAAAGCGATGTGCTAATATTTTGAAGATTTCTCCATCATAGCCTTTTTAGCTCTCTATCTCCTGTGTGTATGAAAGCAAAGGAAAAAAAAACTTACTGATTGGAATGTGTATTCCGTTTGCAAAACAAATCTGTCATATTGTACTGCACTGCTGCTACAAAAACTGGACATACCTGGAAAGGACAACATTCAGACCTGAGTGAAAAAACAGGGGGGGTGTAGCCACCTAACATGACACGTAAATATGTGTCATATAAAGATCTCCGTCTCACTGATAATGAGTGTGGATTTATAAAGCCAAAAGCTTAACGTAGAACATAGCAGTATGACAAGTGCAATACTGCTCACACAAAGTGGTTATTAGAAAATCCAAGCGGAGTGATATAGTTAGTATTAGCAAACAAGTTTTATTCGATCACATGGATCATACTGAGGTTAGACAAAGACATGGTAAACATATTTTTATAAAATCACTGAATTAAAAGCGTTCGGCATCTCCAGATCAACTGGTATTCGGCAATCAGGAATCCACATAAGGCAATGAAGTTCCTAACTACTAGATCAAAGGGTTTCCATATAGTGTCTGCATGAGGGGAACATTCTTCAAAAATAGTATTAGTGACCACCACAGTGAATAGAATGACCTCCTGAAAATGGAAAACCAGAAAAAAAGATCATAGTAGAGGGAACAAAAACATAGCGTATATGCATTGAACCTATGCCATATTAAAACAACCCCATAACAGGTATATATGTTATTCCGTTACCTTCTCATAAACTTGACCATCATGAAAAAAATGGATATATGGCCTTCCTGGATAGCCACCCCAAATGGAAATGTATCCACAATAATAAGTGATTCTAAAAATATATGAATATAAAACATAAATAAGGCTACCAACAGACCTGAATAAATTTAAAGGAAAGGGTAAAAATCAAGAAAATTTACCATACAAAAAGATCAAGGGGACTCCTCCTCTCTTGAAGTAAGATCAGGTCTGAATGAACCAGTGAATATGGGGGTGGGCAGCCAGGTAGCTGGTATATAGAATCCAGACTGATTCATACAGTCTATGTATATATGAATATATAGACCCAAAACTGGGTTTCCAAAAATTGCTCAATAATGAGAAAGTAATGCGGTTCCTAGAAAAATGTATGAGACTGTAGAAGCATGCCACAGCACATATAAAGCATGGTGTATAGATATTCCTCCTGTAGGAGTTCAAAAAATTCCCCCAAAGGGGGTAAATAGACACAAGATTTCACAAAAAATGTGGGTTATATAACCCGTTTGTATTGATATCACTAACGCCTAATTTAGCCTTAACGGCTATAAACTTGCCACCTGTGGAAGTAGGCTGTGACTCAGAATTGCCATGTGCGGGCTGCTTTGAATGATGTCCTCATCATAATTAGAGTGTCTCCTGCCTTTCCAATGTGGAGCTGAAGCAAACCGCTTCTTTGATTCATGAATCTGGGATGAATCTATAGGTATCAGGATTGATTTGCTCAATTTTACTGATTGTAACCAATGGAGTACAGATGAGAGAACCTATAATACACCTGTGGGGATAGAACTTTGGGATCTGCCACTGCATACTTTTTTTAAAAGTGCAAAGTCTGGGGCCTTCATCCTGATCCTGGCTGCAAAACCTATTCTGCCACAGGCTTGACGCAAGCAGATGGGATTGAGACTTTATAGACTTCATTGGCTGCAGGCTTGTTTTGGGCCATTGTTTTACTGGGTGGTAAAGCCAAGATCAGGATGACAAATTGGTGTGGCCTGCACCTTGTAAACAAGTCAGCAATGGTTACTTCCATATACTAACCCACAGGTTAGCTTTAGATGTTTGCCTAGACTGTAAGGGCTAATTCAGACAAGCCACTTTTTGGTAATGTACATAATACTATGATGCACAGTAGTAAGCTGTACACATGCTAGTGCAATGCAGTGCCATTAAGTTTGAATGGCAACATAACAAATGTTCAGAATGCACCTGTGCTGCAGTGCATCATAGTGTCCCACACTGGACTTGACCATGAAAACGTGCATGCTGTAACACGTGTTTAAGCCTGTATATCCGAACCTAACTGTACCAGCCAAATAGTTTCCATCTGTTCCTACTAATTATTTATGGTACTGTTTTGACACTGTTTTGTACTGTTTGGAGCTGACTTTTTCAACCAGGGTGCCTTGAGGTTTCTTCAGGGGTGCCTTGGCAAAATGTCTAAAATTGCCTAAAACTTGTATACAAGCCAGTGGGTGGAATGAGCCTGCCTTTTAGTTACACAAAGCCACAGGTTTTCATTGTGCACCATTACGACCTTCTAGCCGCTGGCATCCTGACAACCAATGACATCATCAGTTGATAAGGAGGTTGTTGGTTACCTGCACAGTATCCTTGTTTGACCCTCTCCCCAGCCTCTCTCCGTCAGTGCTGGGTTCACATTTGTTCAGTGATGAAGGAAAACTGAGGGAGAAGAGAAACATTGGAATACTAGTTGGTACCAGTGTGCAAAAGTTTATTTGCTTTGGAAGAATAAATCACCTTTAACATTGGCTGTCCTCTATGTATGGATGTTGCTACATTATGTAAAACTATTGGGATAATATTAAAGGGTGCCTTGACTGAAAGATTGAGAACACTGGTTTAGAGCTTACATGATGCTATGCTCATTTAGAATGATTTACAGCAGGGGTGCTCAACCTTTTGAAGAGCGAGGGCCAATTAAGTGACTTGGTAACTGGTCATGGGCCACAATGAAATGAAACTGTTCAGAATTTAAATTTTTTTTTTATTTTGAATAGCATAATGAACATTTTCCTCCTGCAGTTGCTGAATGTCAGAGGAGGGGAAGCTGGCTTTCAGCAGGCGCAGGAGGAAAATGGAGAGGATTGGTTTCTGTATATGCCGCCAGAAGAAGTACAGCCAAAGCTTTTCTGAATTCCTGTGGATCCCAGGAGTGCAGTTCATTCTGCACTCCTGTGACCCATTTTCAGCTGACATCACTCAGCCGGTCCAGGCTGGGGAAAGATCCCAACTTCAAACTCTGGATCCACCCCATCCACAGATGCAGCATCGTATCAATTCTCCATCCACCTAGGCAAGTATGAATAGGGGGAAAAAAGCCCTACTTCTCTGTTAAAGAATACAAAGCTTTCTCTGATTGGCTGAGGCAGATATCATTATTATACAGGCGCCAACAGTTTGCGCAGCGCTTTACAATATAAGGGAGACAGTACAATTAAAATATATTTCAGTACAGAAGTAATAGGCGGGCCCTGCTCTCGTGGAGCTTACAATCTAAAGGAAGGGGGAGGTGGTACAAAAGGTGATAGCTGTAGGTGATATTCTGATGGAGGTGGTTCAAGTACAGTTCTTAGGTGGAGGTGGGGTAGGCTTCTCTGAATAAGTGAGTTTTCAAAGATCGCCTAAAGGCAGACAGGGTGGGGGCTGACTGGACATACTGTGGTAGGGAGTTCCAGAGGATGGGAGAGACTCTGGAGAAGTCCTGGCGTGGGAGGAGACAATGATGTCATCTGTCCGCCTCAGCCAATCACAGGAAGCTTTGTATTCAGTCATAGAATACAAAGCTTGCTGTGAATGGCTGAGCGTTAACCTGATTTTGTTCCAGGAACAGGACTTGGAAGTCTTTGTCTTGCTGTTGAAACACAGCGCTGCATAACATCTGTTAATGGAGTGAATAGTTTGTTTAGACCAGCTTGGACCCAACAAAATATTAAAAGGCACAGTAAACACGGAGTTAGGTTTTAAAGTATAAGGCAAAAGGTTTTTTTTTAAGTTTTGGATGGAGTTGAGAGGGATTAGAACACCTGTCAGTTTTTATTGCTGTCTGTACCCCCTTTGAGGAGAATTCCCCCTCTACATTTGTCTTGTTTTCCATTATCATTGAAAGAGAAAGTAAAAGAAAATCACAAATTTCGGGTTGTCACCAAAAAAGTAATAGAGGGGAAATCTTCCGATGGGACCACTAGTTCTGGTGACCTGGGGGTCCCCAAAGAATTCCCTTAATTTGCAGGAATTTCCTCTCATTTTCTGTTTGGCTATGGGAGAGGAAGTGAAGGGAAATCTCTGCAATGGGATGCAGGTGGTGGGAAAAAAAAAATCTGACAGGGGTTATAACCCTCCCTTGCTCTATCAAAAGAAAAAAAAGATGTTTTGCCTTTAGTTCTACGTTAAAGTATTCATAAACTGTGTCCATTTAAAAAAAAAAAAAAAAAAAACCCTGTAAGGTAATGTCATAATGCGCTAGTATGCATCACATACTAGCATATTATGTAAAACTTCCCTTTAAAACGAAGCCCTCCAGCCAAATACTGTCACTGCTGTAGAGGCTTCCATTTTCACCCATTCTTCCTTCCGGGTTCGCAAAATCCGGCCATCTGACTAGCTGGGCCGCGATGATGTCACTCCCACGGGAGTCTCGGGACACAGCCCAGTGCATGGGTATGCCGTTCCTTCAAAGCACATGCGCCAGCTGCCAAAAAAATACCTTGAATATCTCTTGAACGGCCACATTTAGGAGATATTTATTTTACCTACAGGGAAGCTTTATTTTAAGCTTACTTGCAGGTAAACATATACAAAGTGGGTTTTCTACCACTATAAGTAAAGTCATGTGGGGGTCATGCATGCATCCTGTAGAATGGAGTTCAGTGTTAAAACTGGTCACAAATCATCTTGACTGCATGGCTGTAGTCTTATGCCCGTAGGTACATTTTGACATTGTGTGTGTATTTTTAACCATAAATAATCATACATGTAATTGCCTATTTTATTTGCAGAGTGTCCAACATGAGAACACATATAGGAATCCGGTTGCAAAATTCTGTTATGGAGAAAATCCCCCAGAACTTCTTCCTCTCTAAAATCACCCACATGTGATTCAAGGACTGAGTGGGCCAGGTAGTTCTGTAGAAGGAGACGTTGAATGTATGGTAGCAGAAAACACGGAAGATTTAAAATGTGGCATTTGTGATCTGATATAACGATTTTTACTTTTGAAGTCAGTATACAATATAATGGTGATGTATACACAATGTTTACATATCATTTGGTATGCACTGAGTGCAATATACAAAAGAACAAGCAATGAGTTTGTAATGGGCAGTTATTAAAGGACTGAAGTTTAAAAACAAACTTTTACATTTTATTTGTATTTTCTTAAGTCAGAATGACTTACATTTTTGTTTTTCAAACATTGTTTTAATTTATTAAACGTATCTTGTTTTTTTTCCTCTAAGCAGTATTGTTTAAACTTAATGTCTAAAAAAGATATAATGGAAGTGAATCTGGGAATAAGGTGATTAAATAATTGTTTGGGGGAGATGACATGTTTCTACAGGCTTTCTTTTTTTAATAAAAACTTCAAAATTAATGTTATTTCATTATGAGATCGTCTTGTTCAGTACAGTTACCAGTTTGCTGTAAGCAGGTTTTCCACAAAGTGATGTGCATATGTGTATGTGTGTGTGTGTGTGTGTGTGTGTGTGTGTAAAATGAAAGGAACACAAATCAGATCTCAATGGGGAAAAATATCATGCTGGATATCTATACTGATATGGACTGGGTAATGTGTTAGGAACATAAGGATGTCCCATCATTTGATGGAAATGAAAATTATCAACCTACAGAGGAATGAATTCACAGACACCCTGAAAATCAAAGTGAAAAATGATGCAGCAGGCTAGTCCATTTTGCTGAAATTTCATTGCAGCAACTCAAAATGGTACTCAGTAGTTTGTATATGCATGCATGCCTGACAACGTCGGGGCATGCTCCTAATGAGACAACGGTTGGTGTCCTGGGGTATTTCCTCCCAGAATTGGACCAGGGCATCACTGAGTTCCTGGACAGTCTGAGGTGCAACCTGGCGGCGTCGGATGGACTGAAACATGATATCCCAGAAGTGTTCTATTGGATTTAGGCCAGGCGAGTGTGGGGGACATTCAATGGTATCAATTCCTTTATCCTCCAGGAACTGCCTGCATAGTCTTGCCACATTAGGCCAGGCATTGTTGTGCCCCAGGAGGAACCCAGAACCCACTGCATCAGCGCAGGGTCTGACAATGGGTCCAAGGATTTCATCCTGATACCTAATAGCAGTCAGGGTGCCATTGTCTAGCCTGTAAAAGTCTCTGCCTTCCTCCATGGATATGCCTCCCCAGACCATGACTGACTCACCACCAAAGCGGTCATGCTGAACGATGTTACAGGCAGCATAACATTCTCCACAGCTTCTCCAGACCCTTTCATGCCAGTCACATGTGTTCAGGGTGAACCTGCTGTCATCTGTGAAAACATGGTGCCACAGGGCGCCAGTGGCAGACCTGCCAACTCTGGTGTTCAATGGCAAATGTCAATCGAACTCTATGGTGCCGGGCAGTGAGCACAGGGCCCACTAGAGGGAATGAGGCCACCCTCATTAACCCCCCTGGCAGTATTCCCGAGTGTAGCTCGGGGTAAAGTTTCAGTACCAAAAGCGGTAACCCCGAGCTACACTCGGGCTTACCATGCGGCGCTGCTCTAGGATCCCTCGGTCACTTAACTTGTCCTGCGCTCCCGCGATGTCCCTCCTGCGGTGTACCCGGCAATGTAATCCGGCGGATGCCGACATCTGTCATCTGGGTTCCGTACCCTGCGAGTGCCGGGACGTATGGGGGACGGAACGGCGGGAAATTTGAAAATGACATAGTGTGACATTCACTCAATACACTAAAATAACATAGTAAAACATTACTGTATCAAACCATTTCACATACATTTTGTCCCTACTGCTTTGTCCTGTGCCCTGCCTGCATTTTTACTGTTCTTTTTGCCTAGAAACTGAGAAATGTCCATGGCCTCCAAAAAGCGTCCCTTTACGTCAAAATTGGTTTTAGACCAGCTAGCGAACAGCGATAGTAAATAAGAACTATCAAATAATTAAATAATTACTGCGCTGTAATACCAGTAAAAGTGCAAAATGCTTATGAAAGAATAAAAATAAATATATATGGTGATTGATGTGAATAAATGATCACATTAACTAAAATAAATTAAAATAGTTCTACCATAATATCAAAATAGCTAAATGTGCAATACTCATATAAATGTGCAAATGTTCCATAAATAAACCACAGAGAAATATATAATGAAATAAATATAAAATATTTTGATAATAAACGATCTGATAAAAGTCAACAATACTGTCCCAAGTGCAACTGTGCAAATGAATTTATCAGCAAAAACTGATATACTCTCCTTCAGCATAAAGATGGGATCTTTGCAGTTATGTTGTAAGCCTGTGTAGCTGCAGGGCTGTGAGGGATACTCCCTCCTTAATCTGCTCTTTAATCCACTGCCTTTGTGTTCCTCGTATATCTCATGCAAAAGAGAAATAAAGAATATGGTGCCTTATCCCAGAGATAAAAACAGTTTTATTGTGCTTCCATAATTCACTCACATGTAATACATAACATTGCGCTTTGAATGTATCGATATCCGCAGCTTGCAGTAAAAATCAAAGCAGAGGGTGTGTGTCCACACTCCTTCAGTACTCGCCGTATAGTAGATAAGATGCGCGGTGACATCACTGCCCCTCCCCAACGCGTTGCGCTACAGGGATTTCGTAGCTTCGTCCGGGGGATGATGTGGACAATCTGTGATCGCATGAAGAGTAGTAAGCAAGTTGTCACTTCTGACATCATTGTGTACTATGTGTGAAATCTGTGAATGATCACAGAGGTCACATGGTACAAGGCTATTCACAACAGCCTTGTACCATGTGACAAGCTGTGACCAATCACAGCTCGCACAGTATTTCTCAACACTTCTCAGTATTTCTCAATGGCTGCAAGAATGCAGCCAGAGAGGAGAAATGATTGCTTTTACAGCCTTTATGGGTGTAAAAGCAATCCATGTAAAAAAAAAAAATACATTTTGGGCAAGATTTCTGAAAGATTATTTATTTGCTAAATTTTATAAGAAAAACACTTTTTTAAATTTTGGGACTTTTTTATTTATATAGCAAAAAAAAATTTTAAATCCCAGTGGTGAATAAATACCACCAAAATAAAGTTGTACCTGTCTCAAAAAAATGCTAACAAATTCAATTCAATTCGCACAATTGTCATTCAAAGTGTCATAGCACTGAAAGCTGAAAATTCACTGTTCTTAACCTCTTGTTGTCCGCCTGCTGTTTATAAACGGCAGGGCGGTGGCAGTCCAGGGTCAGGTTGCCGTCCATAAACGGCACCTGCCTTTTCTAGCTGTGCGCGCTCCCTGGGAGCGCACACCACCGCGATCCGGTGCCCGCTGTGTCCTCCGGACACAGTGAAACACCGATCGTCGGACGGGACCTCTGTACGAGGTCCCGATCATGTGATCACTGATTGGCGAATCAGTGATCACATGCAAAGTAGTAAGCAAGATGTCACTTGTGACATCATTGCTTACTATGTGTGAAATCTGTGAATGATCACAGAGGCACATGGTACAAGGCTATTCACAACAGCCTTGTACCATGTGACAAGCTGTGACCACTCACAGCTCACTCAGTAATTCTCAATGACTGCAGGAATGCAGACAGAGAGAAAGAGAAATGATTGCTTTTACATCCTATATGGGTGTAAAAGCAATCAGTGTAAAAAAAAAAAAAAAAATCTTCATCACCCTCCACAAGTAGTACAGTGTCACCATGGTGACAGTGTACTGCTAGGGTGACAGTATGTAAAAGATAAAAATAAAAAAATAATATAAAAAAATAAAATAAAATGTAAATAAAAATGTTTAAAAATTATAATTTTTGGTTATAAACTAATTTGGATTTTTTTTTTTTTACTAAAAAAATAACGGAATAAATTTTGGCTAAGATTTATGATGAAATATTATTTATTTGCAAAATTTTATTTAAAAAAACACTTTTTTTCAAAATTTTTGAACTTTTTCATTTACATAGTAAAAAAAATAAAAATCCCAGTGGTGAATAAAATACCACCAAAATAAAGCTTTATCTGTCTCAAAAAAATGGTAAAGAATTCATATGGGTACAGTATTGCATGACCGCGCAATTGTCATTCAAAGTGTGATAGCGCTGAAAGCTAAAAATTGCCCTGGACAGGAAGGGGGTAAAAGTGTCCGGACAGGAAGTGGTTAAGGCATTTTATGGTTTATTACCAATTCTTTAGAAAATTTCCAAATGACTGTGCCAGTGTCCGCTATAGTACTGAGGACACTGTATGCCCATACTTGCTTTACACTCGCATGGTTAGGTAGTGTAAGGGCATTAACTTCCACCAAAGAATGACATTCCCTGGCAGGAGGGAAGTGATATAAATAAAGAATCCCCCTAAGGGACTTTAATGCAGCAAACATATCATTACACATGTACTCGAACTTTTTGGAATCATATACCGTATTTTCCGGTGTATAAGACGACTTTTTGACCCTTGAAAATCTTCTCAAAAGTCGGGGGTCGTCTTATACGCCGGTATACGGCACTTTTTAGGGGGGCGGTGCGGTGCCGCCGCCGTCCCCTCCCTTCCGACGGAAGAGACACTATGTACAGGGGTGGGCAGGGGGCTGCTGTCTCTTACCTGGCTCCCATGACGATCCATCCAGGAAGCGCTGCTGATTCAGTCACTCCGGCCACTCCCTCACTCCTGCCGCTCAGCTCCTCCTCCTCACTGGTGATTAGCCGCCAGAACTGTAGTTAAGGAAAGGCACACAGGCGGCCAATCATGGCCGAGGATGCGGAGCCAAGCGGACCGGCAAAAATCGAGTGAGGGAGCCGTGAGGAAGCAGCCGGTAAGTGTGCAGTGCAGAGGTGCTGCTGCAACCACATATGCTGGCTGCAGCAGCACCATACAGGAAAAGGGGTCAGCAAGTGTCATTGGTGTCAGTGGGAGGAATAGTGTCCCATCATTTCTGTCACTGACACCAGTGATGGGGCACTATTCCTCCCACTGACACCAACGATGAGGCACTATTCCTCCCACTGACACCAACGATGGGGCACTATTCCTCCCCCCCACTGACGGGGTACTATTCCTCCCACTGACACCAATGATGGGGCGCTATTCCCACTGCCACCAATGATGGGGCGCTATTCCTCCCACTGACACCAGCAATGGGGCACTATCCCTCCCACTGACACCAATGATGGGGCTCTATTCCTCCCACTGACATCAATGATGTGGCGCTATACCTCCCACTGACACCAATGATGGGGCTCTATTCCTCCCATTGACACCAACAATGGGACGCTATTCCTCCCACTGACACCAACGATGGGGCGCTATTCCTCCCACTGACACCATCGATGGGGCGCTATTCCTCCAACTGACACCAACGATGGGGCACTATTCCTCCCCCCACTGACACCAACGATGGAGCACTGACGGGGTCCTATTCCTCCCACTGACACCAATGATGGGGCACTATTCCTCCCACTGACACCAATGATGGGGCGCTATTCCTCCCGCTGACACCAATGATGGGGCGCTATTCCTCCCGCTGACACCAGTGATGGGGCGCTATTGCTCCCACTGACACCAATGATGGGGCGCTATTCCTCCCGCTGACACCAATGATGGGGCGCTATTCCTCCCGCTGACACCAGTGATGGGGCGCTATTGCTCCCACTGACACCAATGATGGGGCGCTATTCCTCCCGCTGACACCAATGATGGGGCGCTATTCCTCCCGCTGACACCAGTGATGGGGCGCTATTCCTCCCACTGACACCAATGATGGGGCGCTATTCCTCCCACTGACACCAATGATGGGGTGCTATTCTTCCCACTGACACCAATGATGGGGCACGGTTCCTCCCACTGACACCAATAATGGGGCGCTATTCCTCCCACTGACATCAATGATGGGGCACGATTTGTTGCTCTGACACCAATGATGGGGCACGATTCCTCCCACTGACACCAATGATGGGGCGCTATTCCTCTCACGGACACCAATGATGAGATGCTATTCCTCCCACTGACACCAATGATGGGGCACGATTCCTCGCTCTGACACCAATGATGGGGCACTATTCCTCCCACTGACACTAATGATGGGACACTATTCCTCACACACTGACACTAATGGTGGGGCACCATCATTGGTGTCAATGAGAGGAATAGTGCCCCATCATTGGTGTCAGTGGGAGGAATAGCACCCCATCATTGGTGTCAGAGCAAGGAATCGTGCCCCATCATTGGTGTCAGAGTGAAGAATCGTGCCCCATCATTGGTGTCAGAGTGAAGAATCATGCCCCATCATTGGAATACCATATTGAAATCAAATCTGATGTTTTTTAATTTTTATTTGGTTTACGTTGGAAGAGGGGTAGTCTTATACGGCAAGTATAGCCCAAACCCTATATTTTAACAGGAAAAGTAGGGGGTCGTCTTATACGCCCAGTCATCTTATACGCTGAAAAATACGGTACTTTATTACATAGAAGTATTTGTAAAAGATACAAAAACATTGGCTCTGATAGATATTGCAAGGGTATTTTCATTCACATTACAACATAATTCTTAAAAGTTACTCCAGGTGACTTGGGTATGTTGGGGACGAGAAGTTTAATACTCAATTTCCTGTTAGAAGTAGTGGTGCACTGAAATGAAAATTCTGGCGCTGAAACTGAAAATTCAAAATGCACTTGGCCGAAAACCACAATGCGCAGTTTTTAAAAAAGAAAATATATATTTTTTGGAAAAGACTACAATTTGATTAAAAAAAAAATATACCCCAATTTTTTTTTGTAAAATATGAAAGAGAATGTTACGGCAAGTAAATAGATACCCAACATGTCACGCTTTAAAATTGTGCACGCACGTGGAATGGCGTGAAACTGCGGTACTTAAAAATCTCCATGGGTGATGCTTTAAAAATTTCTACAGGTTAGTAGTGGAAAGTTACAGAGGCAGTCTAGTGTGATAATTATTGCTCTTGCTCCGATGTTTGTGGCGATACCTCACATGTGTGGTTTGAACACCATTCACATATGTGGGCATGGCTTATGTATGCATTCACCACTATGTGCGAGCATGGGGGGGGAAAGGGGCACTTTAAACTTTAAAAAAAATGTATTTAATGTTTTTTTTTTTTTTTTTTGCACTGTTCCTTTAAAAAAACATTTTAATGACTTTTATTCTTATCACAAGAAATGCATGCATCCCTTGTGATAAAAATAATTAGTGACAGGTGCTCTTTATGGAGAGATATGGGGTTAATAAGACCCCACATCACTCTTCTGCAATGTGAAGTATTGGATCAAAAAAAGAGCATTGATCTAATGCTATAAAAAAAAAAAAAAAAAAATGGCCTGAACGGGAAGTGACATTGCTCCTGTCCTCCAAGGGCAGAGAGATGTGTGGTGGCCATCTTTCCTTCACTCATCTCTATGCCCAGCGCCGAGATAGATGGTTTCTCAGGTAAGGCTGATCTACCGAGTGGCAGCCAGTGGCGGCAGTGAGGGGCGTCGGCAGGCAGCGGGCCGCGGTGAGGGGTGGTATTTTTTCGGCACCTGTATCTGTGCTTTTTTTTCATTACGGCCGAAAGGGGTGTTTTCGGCCGAAACGTTTTGGCCACCGAAATTTCGGTGCATCACTAGTTAGAAGTGTGAGAGATATGGAGACAGTCTCCTTATTACCCACTGGTCATGGGACATCTTTGACCCCACTTCCACCTACCAACCATCCCGCCACAGACTTTGATAACATCTCATGCTGGAGTGCAGGATGCACAAATACTATGACTAGAGATGAGCGAAGTATTCAAAAATTCGATTCGGCTGATTCGGCGAATTCGAGGAATAAATTCGATTCGATGCGAATATATTCGCTGCGAATTTAACTTATAAAAAGGGTGTTTCTAGGCTTCAGAGAGCCTTTATATTAGTGCAGAACACTGTACCTTTAATTTAAATGCCCTTGGAGTCTGCTGGGGAAGAGAAATATTACTGTCAGTCAGTATGACATGCAGATGAGTGCCGTCGATCTTAGAATCACCGCACACTTCACTCATTTGGGCAGTCACGGGGCCAAAACCAGAGCGTGGAGCCACAGTGTGGCGGTGGAGGCAGCAGCAATGGGAGGCCATACAGCACCCTATGACAAAATGGAACCCACCAGCAGTGTGAGGAGACCTGAAAGTGGCACATGGCAGAGTGTGGCGATGGAGACAGCAGCAATGGGAGGCCGTACAGGGACCCATGAGACACTCTGGACCTGGCAGCAGCATGAGGAGGCGGTACGGGGGCCCATGGCAGATTACGGGCCTGGCAGCAGCAATGGGAGGCCCGTAATCTGCCAGCACCCTATGACAAAATGGAACCCACCAGCAGTGTGAGGAGACCTGAAAGTGGCACATGGCAGAGTGTGGCGATGGAGACAGCAGCAATGGGAGGCCGTACAGGGACCCATGAGACACTCTGGACCTGGCAGCAGCATGAGGAGGCGGTACGGGGGCCCATGGCAGATTACGGGCCTGGCAGCAGCAATGGGAGGCCCGTAATCTGCCAGCACCCTATGACAAAATGGAACCCACCAACAGTGTAAGGAGACCTGAAAGTGGCACATGGCATAGTCTGGCGATGAAGTCAGCAGCAATGGGAGGCCGTACAGGGACCCATGACACACTCTGGACCTGGCAGCAGCAAGAGGAGGCGGTACAGGGGCCCATGGCAGAGTGGCGAAGCGTAAGCAGCTTAAATTGAAGGCCATACAGAGGCCTATGTTAAAAATAATAACATGTTTGGGGCATGATTCATGGCGGATTTAGTCAGTTGTGTCAGGAACTGGTGGTTTGAAATCCAGACTAATCCACGCCTGATTCATTTTCACAAACGTGAGTCTCTCCACACTTTGGGTGGACAGTCGTGTCCTCCGCGGAGTTACAATACCTCCTGCCGCACTAAACACGCGCTCCGATGCCACGCTACTGGCCAGGCATGACAGCCTTTCAAGGGCAAATTCAGCTAGTTGGGGCCAAAGGTCAAGTTTCGTTGCCCAGTAGTCAAGGGGATTGTCTACCTCGGTTGGCAGGGTGCTGTCCAAGTAGGCCCGAGCCTGTTGTTTGAGGTCCTGCTCCAGGTCCACCTTTACACTCCCACGGCTTCAACTACCATCTCTATGCTGATGACACTCAAATTTACCTCTCCACCCCTCACCTCACCTCCACTTTCTCCGCCCGCATCACTCACCTCCTAAACGACATCTCTGACTGGATGTCGCTCCATTTCCTCAAACTCAACCTCTCCAAAACCGAGCTTCTCGTCTTCCCTCCTGCCCGCGCCCCCCCCCCCCCCCCCCATCCTATCCATCACTACTAACATCACCACTGTTCTGTTAGTGGATCCTGCTCAGATGCTCACACACTGTAGTTAACAGGAGACATTTTATTAGGTGCTTCTAGCTGCCATTATACATGTGTCTGCCTAGAACTACAACCAAAGAGAGGCAATAACACAGTTGTACCAGTATCTAAGTAGTGAGACCCCTAGAGGCCATACACAGCATATAACATATTGCTACATCCTTTCTCTTTTAAATAAAAGAACAATGAAATATAACAAACACAAAATGGTGAAGTAGAACATAGCTATAAATTAGATATAATCCTTGAGGTGAGCCGGCTTTCTGATTGTTCTGCCAGCTCGCGTAACATATGAGGTTTCTTCTGATTCTGGCAGTCTATTTTCTGGGACTGTCTCTCTCTGCCTAGAGACCTCCCTATGCTCCTCAGCAGTTCCTGTTTCTTTGTTGCTGGTATTCATAGTCTCATCGCTTTGAGTGTCCATATACTGTTCCCAGGGCCCTGTATCATCTCCTTCTTGTGTTTTTCTCAGATGTCTCCGATTTCTCCTCCATCTTCTTCCTTCCTCTGTTATAATTTCATAGGACCGTGGTCCCAATTTCTGTACAACCTTCGCTTTTTTCCAGTGTTTGTCATATTTCCCTATTGGCTGAATCCGTACATTGTCATTGCTCTGGAGAACAGGCAGATCTTTTGCAGATTTATTATAATAGAAAGCTTGCCTATCTTGATTCTTCGTTAGTTTGGCTTTAACATTGCCCACAAGCTTTGGCTTTAGTAGTTGACCTGCAGTTGGTAGGAGAGTCCTTGTACGTCTACTCATAAGCCGCTGTGCTGGACTGGTGTCTAAGCCTTGTGTGGGTGTGTTTCTGTGGTCCAGTATAGACAGGTATATCTCTGTACCTGCCTGTTTTGCCTTTTGCATGAGTCTTTTGGCTGTTTTTTACTGCTGACTCGGCTTTACCATTACTCTGCGGATATCCAGGAGATGATGTCTGGTGCTCAAATTCCCACCTCTCCCTGAATTTTTTGAATTCTTCCGATGTAAATTGAGCGGCGTTGTCAGAGAACACAATATCCGGAATGCCATATCTGGCAAAATGGGCCTTGAGTTTTTTAATTACTGTTTTGGCCCTTGTGTCCTGTAAGTAGTCTATCTCCCAGAAGTTGGAAAAATAGTCCACAGTTACCAGATATTCCTTGTCGTTCCACGTGAACAGATCTGTTCCTACTTTTGACCATGGTCTGTTTGGAATTGTATGTGGTTGCAATGTCTCTTTTGGTTGCTTATCATTGCACGATGCACATATTTCACACTGTGCTATAAAGTTTTTTATGTGGTCATTCATTCCAGGCCAATAAACATATTCTCGTGCACGACGTAGACATCCTTCTACACCTAAGTGAGTCGAGTGCAATCTTTCTATAATGTCTCTTCTAAGTGATTGTGGTATGACAGCTCTTTCTCCTTTAAAGATGATTCCATGCTGCACAGAGAGTTCATCTCTTATGTGAAAAAAATGGAGAAACCTCCATTGGAGCATGCTGCTTGTGTTTTGGCCATCCCTTCAAGATGACAGTCGATAGGATCTGTAGAGTTTTATCTTCCGCTGTGCAGGTCTGTATTTGTTTCAGTCTGTCTTTTGAGACAGACAGATATTCACACATATTGATGCTTTCAATGTCTTTTTCTTCTTCATTTGTGATGGGTAAGTAAGCTCTGCTTAGGGCATCTGCAATCAGTAAATCCTTCCCTGGACAGTAACAAATGTTAAAATCATATTTCTGAAGCCTTAACAGCATACGCTGCAGTCTTTTTGGGGCATTCAGTAGTGGCTTCTTTGTAATACTTTCTAAAGGCTTGTGATCTGAATGCACCACCACTTGTCGACCGTAGGTGTACTGGTGAAATTTCTCTAACCCAAATACTACCGCTAGTAGTTCCTTCTCGATTTGA